TTTCCTCCATAAGGAACTACACAACTTGCTATTATTAATCAAATGAGCATTTCAGCCCTGAAGCCATTTCTTTCATAATAGGATGTTTGTCTTTTTTAAAAAAGAAAGGATTATACCATGCAGAATTTTTAATGACACCATATGGTAATTAAAGCCAGTCAAATTCTAATGAGATTTTGGTAGAGCCTGAACAAAGCTTCACCATGGAAAATACAAAGAACTAAAGACAGCAGAGTATTTCCACATATTATAGTTAAAAGTAATCAAAGCATTCTGCATGAGCACCAGATGAAATGCTGTGTGCTTTACACATGTGTTACATTTAAGTACCACAAAACTGCAAAACGGATACATGTATTCTCAATTCAGAGTAGAACCTGAGACCCAGATCCCCGGTGTGACTTGCCAAAAATCCATTAGAGGACTGAACAGAAACGCAAACCCAAAAGGGTCTGATGCCCTGGGTATTATTCTTTTCTTCCATTGTATCCTCCCTAGACAATTAGAATAGAGTGAAGAAAAAAGTATATGTTGTTTCTTCAAATCATCTTACTGAGTGTTTGTTGACCTATCACTCATGTAAAACTTAAAAGAACAGGCCGGGAATCAGAAAAATATGACGAGGCAAATCTGAAGCCTGCTTGCTGAAATGCCCTAATGGAGGAGGGCAGAGGGACAGAGACAGGAATGGAAGCCTGGTTGATTCCTCCTTCCCTACATATAGAAATCAATTTTCTTTTCTATGACCTTGGCCTTCTATTATTTCTTTTTATTCTCCAAAATAAATTGTGATGTTATTTAGTGCCAAACAACTTTTGAGATTTTTAAAAATTTTTCAATAATAGAAGTAGGTGACTCAGAAACTACCAAATTTTATTTGAGAGGTAAACATCAAGTGCTCCCAAATTTCCTTGTAAGTTAGTGTATTCATGCAGAAGTACTTCAGCTATACTATAAGTTAATGGGTAACAATTCAATAATAGTTTTATTTATATATATATTATTTTTTAATTAGGTTAGATCTTTGGTACAATTACTGCAAGCTCCGATTTCAATCTGTGAAGAACTCAATCAAAAAATTCAAATGATTGGAATTAGTTCTTTCCTCTGAATATAATTACCTATTTTTATTTAAAGAGACAAATAACAAGGAGGCACTCAGCAAATAGACATGTATTGTTTAATATTAATGAATTTTTCCCAGATGGACCTCAGCACTGGTATACCTTATTTCCTCCATAACTATATTACCTTAGTACTGTATTTCACATTATTTATTTTTCTCCAAAGTATATCAATGTAGTAATGAACCAGCCAAATAAATGCTCTCTATTAACACTGCAAAGGTTTATTATAATGACTCCAGAGTTTCTTGGGAATTAAAAAATAACTACATTATTTTAAAATTAATTACATAGGAGTTAACCAGGCATAGTGTTAGGGAAGAGAAAGTTAGCGAATACAGGGGAGGTGAGACCTGAGCAAAGACAGGATGGCCAGAGGGGCTATGGCATCCAGAGAAACAGAAAGAAGGGGTACCTGGGCTAGAAAGGCTGGCTGGACTCATGCTAGGAGTTTGGACTTCAGTTTAAGAATAATGGGAGGCTTTGAAGAATTTTACCTAAAAAGGAATTGCATGATTCAAACATTTCTAAGAGGCCTGTCTAGTTGGTGATGGTAGGAGTGAGAATCAATATGAGGAGAGGAATTAGGAGACCACAGTCGTCATTCTGCAAAAGATAAGTGATGTTTAAAGGAAGCAACAGGAATGAAAATGGGAAGAAGCAAGGATTTTTTGAATAAAGCAAACATGTTTTGAAGTGTGTGCATGTGTGTGAATGCACATGCTTGGGCACACATGTGTGAGAGAGAAAAAGAGACAGGGAATATAATAAAAGAAATATTTGATGCATGAATTATTTTAGGGAGACTTCCAAAAGGCCTTATATGACGATTTTTTCTGAATATATTGAGTGAGGTGGCCCACCACGTTTGCCACTATAAAATATTTTAAAAACTAAAAATGGAAAAAAGAAGGAAACACTAGTTTTATATCCTAGCAGATACACTAAAAGCTACAGATAACTGATGCTTTTATCTTTAAAACCCTCTCATAGCGTGTGTACTATATCTAAGTGGGTTTTACACAGATACAGTACTTATTTTTGTTTTAACAAAACTATTCCAGATTTGGTGTTTTTACTCTTAAATTTTTCTTTCCTTCTCAATTATACCCCACTGATTTCTTTTCATCTATTTATAAACACAATTAAATTTCCTTCAGACTCTGGAAAGTACTAAGGAATATTTTCTTGACATCTTTTTTTTCTTCAACATTCTCTTTGACCTACAGAAGGCCGTCATTCCTAATTTATTGAGGAGAGTAAATGGAATCCCTCAATCCATTACCATACAGTGATTCTACCAACATCTGTATCATAGCTATTGTTATTTATTTTATCCAGTCTCAGTTGAACGAGATTCTCTTTCTTAGCTTTGTTTAGCTCAGTTGATGTGGGTCTTTCTGGTGTCTAAGAGAGTAGACTTGCTCTACTACTGTTCCACTGGCATTCCTTACACTTCTTTGGATCATAACAATGACAATGTTTCCCTTCTTCCCTTCCTTACATTCTCACGCTTCCATCGGTACTTCTCTATCAGTGTATCCATAGTCATGCTTTGAAAAACTCCATTGAAAAACTATTTTCTACACTCTTTCTAACTATTCAACTTCTATCCTGCCCTTACTGAATTTTTAAAAAGCATTATCAAAAGCTGTTTATATTCCTCTGCTCATTTGGCAGTCAGGTATGTTTTATTATTATATCATTTTGAAGAGAAAAGGAAGACTCAGCAGAATTAAACACCTTCCAAAGTCTATAATGTAGAATCAGTATAAACATTAATTAAATTAAATAATTAAAATCAAAGTATTTTCATTTAAGGCTTATTTTGGTGAATAATATAAAACTGAATGCCACTAATATTACTAAATGTCTTTACTGGTTTTGTGAGTTTGACTTTTTTAAACAACAAGAACGTCAATCCACATTACCAAGGAAATACGTAAGAAAAATGAGCAAGTTTATCTTTTAAACTATGTGGCAACGTTAAGTGCAAGTTCTTATAGTTAAAAGTAACCAGGAATAGGACAAAGAATTAGCCTTTTTCCCTAATTTTTAAGTTGGTAGGATATGTTACATAAATATGAAAGGTCTTTTTCACTTCTTCCAAATGTTATTTTAAAAATAACACAAATAATTACTTTTGTTTTATTTTATAAAATAAAAGACATAAAAGGTACAATTTATAGTAACCAGAGGAAAGAATGATATGATAAAAAAAGATTTTTATGTGGTCATTTAACTTATTCAATTTCAATTTCATTCGTAATATTCTATGGAACTAACACTGTCTCAGAATGACAGTTTAATTGTACATAATTCAATAACATGATTATTACCTCAATGTAAGATTAAAAATAACAAAGGCTATTTATTTATGATAGATACTGCCTAGTTTGTTTGGTATCAGGGATCGAACTCCGGACCTTGGCTTGAAAGGCAGGCTGCAGAATCACTGAGCTAAATCCTCGGCCCTTCTAAAATATTTTTATTTTCCTAATTGCTTGAATATCCTTTTCAATTAACTTAGGCAAGTGATTCCTTCATAAAAATTAATGACTAATGTCAACAACACTTTTCACTTAAGTCTCTAGCATATTTTGTTATTCTATCCACACAGGTCAGGAGCTACATGTAGGCACTGGGTTACGGAGCTGCCTCTGAAGTGGTTCAAGGATGACGTCATCAAGACATGACAAGTGACCTTCTGAAACTTCTGAATGCACTTTAATTTAAGCACAATTATTCATCCAAATTGGTGCAGACCAGGCAAATTACATGAAAATACAATTTAACATATATAAATGACTAATGTGTATCCCAAATTACTATGTTTCCTTAATGCTAAGGAACTGAGTAAGTTAAATTTAGAGGTTACACAAATGAATTCCACTTTTTTTCTTTTGACAAAATGTAAATCAGCTACTTTTTGTATATATACAGGACTGTTAGTATTAAAAAGAAGTGAATGTTTTCATGTTTCTGCATGGCTAGCATTTTGTGAGTACAGAAAAGTAGAATTTGGGTTTAAGGATAAAGTTTGAAAAATCAAAAGATTACAAAATAGGAGACTTCTGGAGATATTTACCTTGCAGGAGGTTATATTAATATTTCAAAGAGGGGGGGGTAAAACTTGTGAGTCATATATTTATGTTTTAAAGTATACTTTGGACATCCCTAATACGAAAATCTGAAATCTAAAACTCTCTGAAATCCAAACATGATGCTCAAGTTTCAGATTTTGGAGCACTTTAAATTTCAGACTCTCAGATTAAGGATTTTAAACTATAATGGCTATGCAAATATTACAAATCTGAAAATTTTCCAAATTCTAAAGCCCTTCTAGTCCTAAGCATTTTGGATAATGGGCACTCAATCTGTACTTACACTAGGGAGGTTTCTCTCTCTTCTCTCAGAAAGAGGTCAGCTAAATAAGAGCTCTTATTTATACACCTGGATTCGTAATTTCAGGGTTTTTTCCTTATGGTAACAAATGCCTCCTTTTGTATTTGCAAGTACCACCTGGCTCTCACCATACTGTTTTGAAGGCAGTAGAGTGTAGGGCACTGATGTAGTGACTGAGGTATAAAGTCTGTCCTAATCCAGAAAATTTGTACTTGTTTTCATGGTAAATATTGATATTGAAAACTTACTATACTTTAAATTAGGGTTTGGGGGAAAGTATATTTGGAAAGCTTCATTATACTTATTTTCAGCCTGATCAAGTCACCTAATTCATAAATAACCTTTTACAGCAAAGACAGTATAATGATCACTGATAACATTTTATCATACTATTTTGATATAATAAAAATAAAAAGTTAAGAGTACTATTACAATGAAATCTATAGAAAACAAAAATGAAAAATCACTTACTTGATATTATCAAGACAGCCTGATTCAGGTTTCAGTATGGCAGTATGATGAAACATTTTATATAAAGCAATTCCCAGGAAGATTACATTAAGCTGGAATGTAAAAAGTATGTTATGCATAATCACAGTAGGAAAAAACAAAACAAAACAAAAAACCAAGTCTATTCTGTGTAACGAGTGAAGTGTTCTGGGAAATTAACTTTTAGGATACTTAAAGGAATTGGATCATAGATAACTGCCCTGTATTTTAGCAAAGGCAAGAAGTCTATTTTGGGAATGTGGATTCCACTAAATAGCAGAGCACTGCTATGCTGAATACACACAAATACAATATTAGCAGCAGGTGAAATGATGCTGTGGAAATTTTGAAAGGATTCACAACCCAATGTATGTTTTTAAAAAATAACTAAACAAACACAATACTTATTCTAAGTGTGTTACTATTTCCGTACTCAAAATTTCTTCAAATTTATTACTTAGGGATACATTTTCAAATTTTACAATATGAAAATACAATATGTAAAATCAATGTATTTTTGCATAGCTTATTCAAAAAAATTGGAATATGCTGGTGAAATTCTGATGTGACAACTAAGATACAAATGGAGGGAACCCTCATGATAGTGTATCACTGAAAGCCGAAGAAGCACATGACTTAAAACAAGATACTTAAGTGTACATCACCAATGCCGCTTCCATTTAAACACTTCAGAAAAGCACATACTGAACTGTCCTTTTCTACTTGACCGGCTTATCTACTCCATAACTTGGGACTGGTGGAGGCTAGAAAAATCCAATTAAAAGCCGCACTGAAATTCTCTCTAATACAGCTTCAGGATTTTTAATGAATCATCTCCTTATCTAAAAGAACTCAAAAGTAAAAGTTTAGGTGGCTGAAATGTCTATTCTAAACTGAATCCATTTTCCATTTGGTGAGAAAACCTGATTAATATTGCCATAAGGCTATCAATAGTCATTACTATCCTTGCTTTTGCTTCTTTTCTGTTTCTTTTTCTGCTGAAATATTCCTATTTGATTGGAGAGTGCTGCTTGGTCCCTGCTGTCAGTATAAGTTGATATGTTTCATTTTGGGCAACTGTTTCCCACTACTGTATGGGTATTATTTTATATGTAATACCTGTACCATATTGTGTTTCCAAAGTCTGAAACATTGCTGAATTCCAAAATATATATGCCTCAATGTGTTTCAGGTAAGAAATTATAGCCCTGTCTTTTATTCAAAGTCAAGGGGCAAACATTTTATTCCAATGAATACCAACTTTGTGTTTCTGTAAACAATGATACTAATAATTTTGTTTTAATTAGTATAATACTGGAAATCAAGATATTATGCATTTAAAAATGAAAAAGAAAGCATGATTCTGGAATATATGTCCAATTTAGTTGTGCTATCTGGAGTAAAATCTTTATTTTTAAATATTCATGTAAGACACAAAAGTAGAAGGAACAATCAGGTATTTTCTCACCTGTCCAATCTCCAATGAAATAATCCCAAAGAAAAAGAATGGAAATACACTGTTTGTCTCAGTTATAGTCATCACTGTTCAAATTATCTACACAACCAAAAGGATTATGTTACATTGAACTCCCCAATCCCCATGCATAAAATCTTCCAACCACATGTTTTCTTTTCCCACAGGTTCTGATGAACTATTTTACCATATAAGAGTAGACTAGAATGAATGTCTAATTGCTTGAGTTATGTAGGGTCAAATAAGTACATGCTTTCTCCAAATTAACCTATGTAAATTAAATAAATTTAGTGCAGGGATAGTGAAAGTTTTATTTGTTGACCTGGGAAACACAAAGTTAATTAGGAGTTCTCACCATAATTATCAAGGTCGCTGGTCCTATAAAACTCCAAATGAAGTAGGTGTCAAGTCGGAGCCAACATCTGCAATGAAACACAAGGGAGAGAAGGCATTCAAGGACTGGGCATGGGACATACATCAAGAGTAAGAGAGTGACAGAGAAGAATGTGAGCTGCAAAGCATTCCACTGGGAGACAGGAAATATTACATTGCTTGTTCATTTAAATGCTGAATTATGTGCCTGATTTCTGACAGCACTATTGATGGAGTAAGATAATTACCCCTGGAGGAAGCAGGGAGAAAATGGCACTGGGCCTATTTGCTAAGGCCTTTTGTGTATGTCCTTAGAAACCTTATAAAAAAAAAGAAAGAAAGAAAAAGGAAAGAAAAAGCCATACACAGAACCATTAAATTGCAGAGTTTTAAGCTATCCTTTTCTCTCCAATTACAGTGGTACATAACCTGTCTATCAGCTGTCCGGCAGAGTGACATTTTCCTGTCAAGATCTGAGGAAATTCAGTACAAAGAAGAAATAAATTTGGTATCAGGAGATTGAAGTTTAATTAGGTTGGGCAACCAACCTTTGAGAGCTCTTAAAAAGTGCATTGTTACTGTTCATACTTCTGGGGTTGCAAATGATCCTTAGCATCCCATGAAGTTGATTCATGACCTAAAAGTAAATTATTAATCACTTAATTTCAGCCACATTTAATACTTCCCCAATTCTTAAAGCCTCTGGGAAATTACATTTTCATTCTTCAGTATGACAGGAAGACAAAATGGAACTGACTAGTTATGAGAAAGATTAATGTAAATTCTGAACAAATTATATTTGATGTTAAAAATAATATCTTGAATTATTTGTCATTTTGCTGTATTTGAGGCATAATTAAACAGAAAGATCTTTAGTAGTAAATATTCAAGAGTGTTTTGATGTGTGTTCTAAACTTGCAAATGTTAAGGATTTAAATATTCCAGTGATTATGCAAATGTTATTTAAACCTAAGTAATAATGGAATACAAATGAAACTATTAAGAAATAAATCTATAAATACAAATCAATAAAGAAATTGATTAAAAATATTTTTCTATTTTTTGATAAAATATAAAATAGTTTAAAAAAAGAATAAATAGACATACATCAATCAGATAAATAAAAGTTGAATGAAAAAGTCAGGTTAAGCATCTACCTACATATATATTAAATACACACCTATAATAGATGTTATATATATTACTTGTATAAACACAAACATAATTTCTATATACTTAATGCTGTGTATCTTTGATAAATACATATATATTTAGTTTTTAATGGAAAAGAAAAAAAAAAATCAACCTCATGTTAGAGTTTGCTCTCACATGAGAAAGAAAAGGATTGGAATTTGACCGAAAGAGCTATGTGTTTGTTTCAACAATTACTGGAATTTAAAATGTCAAAATAATAGTAGTTTTAATATTTGAGTAATGAGGTAGTGATTTTTATTATGGTTTCATTTTGTTCTCACTTTCTGTAACTTGCAAATTTTTCAAAAAAGTTTAAAAGCTAGATTTCACATGAAAAAATCCTTTAAAAAATCAACTTTAAAACAGCATCTTGTCTTTTATTAAGTTAAATACATGTAAACTAATTTCAATAAAGTACAATAGGTAAGAGATTGACTTCATATTTTTATATGAATAAGATCATTTCTTTTTATTAAAAATAAAAATGCTTACGAAGATGTTATTATTGAAGCAATCAATGCTTCAGTTACTAGATATTTATTTGTTTGAATGAGTATCTATCCTATTGCTGTGCTGTTCAATAACACTGTTCAGAGCAGCTAGAAGTGTGGTACTGCCCACAAGCAGAAACAAACCAGGAAACTCAAAGTTAACATATGAAAATTATTTTCATTCTTACCACAGTCTAGTTTACCACCACCTTAATAAAGGGGTTTGTGTGTATATGTAAGTGATTGAAGTGAACGGGAAAATTTAACGGGTAGCTCAGGGTTCTCAACAAACACTGTATTTTCCCTGAGGGTAAAAACAATAAAGGACAATTCAGGGACAATTTTTCAGATTAGAACAGACATGAACACATGCACACACACACAGACACACACACACTCAGCACAGGATGTTGCTGAAATTACACTAACATAATACTATACTAATTATACATTTAAGAATGATTGTTAATGGTATAACTCTGGTTTGTAGGTCAAACAAGTTAGAGGCAACCTGAGAACTATTGCACATTTTCAGCAAATTCTTTTTATAGAAAACTTGCTTCCAGATCTTCTGAAAAAATGTTATTTTACAGATTAAGATCTCATACAAAAAAACATTAATTAACTTAGAGAATTACAAAACTTTTATGTCATAAAATATTGAGTTTAAATAAAATAATGTCATTAAATTTAAGCATTACAAAGCTTTATTTTTTTTGCAAATAACCTCAGTTTAGCAAATGCTTTCTTTGGAAGTGTGCTTTTGGTATAATTTTTTTCCTCTAAATATGAAAGGGAAATTGGAAATTATTTTTATTCTTTAAGAAAATTCTTCAATATCTTTTTGGTGGAACAGACTTAAATTCCTCTCAGAAGTAAACAGTGAATGAGGCAGCATGAAACAATTTACTAAGTAGATCATCTCTCCATGAGCACTGTCTGGGCCTCATTCTCTTCTGGAAGGTTCTGTAGCAGGAATGTGGGTTCTAATCTGATTGCCATCTGGCCCCACCTGCTGTTGTTTTTGCCCGCAAGCTGGCTTTCTCAAAGCTGTGTGTATTTCATCTATTTCCTATTACCTGTCTTAAAAATTTGCATGATTCCCACCTCAATTCACTGTGCCAATGTTGAAACGATTCACTTTGGCTTTAACATGAAGATATAAGAACCAAGATGCATTATGTAAAGGTACAATTCCCAATGAGAAATGTAATTGTGTTGTACACCTACAATGTACCAATAAAAGAATTTAATAAAGTGCAAAAAAAAATGAAGAAGATATTATGTGGGGTGTATATGTAAGGACACTTCATCCTATTCTAGAAATTTGGCCACTTCATATCTTTTGTATACAATTCACAACTACTGGTTAAGAGGCAACAGGGTCAGATGAGTAAGACAAATGCTAGAGGAACAATTTTATCACACAAAAATTATAAAGTTTGCCTTGCTTGGCCAAATAGCAATTGAAGAATACCATTTATTATAAAATTGACTTCTTCCACAAAGCAATCTTTAACTTGTGAAATTAGAATTTTGATAGGCAATCCTGTTTAAATTTGCAATTATCTTAAAAAATCAAATTCAATCATAATGTATATAACTTTCTGTGTTAACTTTATAGAATTACTATAGCAAAATTAACTGACACAAAATTGAAAAGTAAGTGTATCTTGAGCACACTACATCTCTACTTGAATACTGAAATCGTTTCCATAACAATAGTCTGGAATTAATAGGATCGCTTGTCATATACTACAGAATTTACTTGTCTTTTATTTTACTTAGGTGACACAGAGGTGCCTTTTAATTTCTATTTTTGTAATATATTTTTCAAACAATAAGAGTTACATACTGTTATATGATACATAATTAAGTCTTACTGAATTACTTTTAAGTTTATTGGTCTGAACACTCAATAGAACTAGCGGTAAGCCAGAGGGATAAATTATTATTCTCCTCCAGAATAGTTCTATTTTTAAATAGAAGACGCCTCATTGAAATTAATAATAAAAGTGTTCATATCAATATCATCCTCTCCATGAAAAGTCAGTTACTATCCAACAAGAACTACCTTCATTTTTATTCAGAAAAAAAGAGAAAAATGAAGCAAGTTAATATTTCAAACTGAGACAAATTCATTTCTCAAAGTGGGAGAACAGAAAACAATACTTTTAAGGTTTATGCTCTTCTGCTAAACTACTTACCATTTTATTGTCATGAGTCATTTGCAATGGCATAATTCTGTTTTTATAAAAATAAGGTTAACTATCCAACATACATAAATGTCACCCAAATCATGTTTTACACTGTTTTTAGATACCAATAACATTACCAAAACATAGTTTCTTATTCAAAGTCTTCAATGTATAATCATTAAAATGACTTGGGACATTGAATTTTGTTGCTGGTTTAATTCATTTATATCAAAGCAGATATCTACCTATTCAGCAAAGGTTTCTGAAGTAATATAAAATAGCAATAGTGCTTAGAATAAAAAACTAGCCATAGTATATCATATGTAAGTTATATTGCCTTTATATCCACAACATATCATTTTTTAAAAGTGTTTCACCATGTTTCCAGCAAAATACATCTTCTTATGAGGGACTACAAAAGCAAGAATGGTACTATTTGCTATAATTTATTAATACATGTTGGCATAATTGCCATAATCCAATCTTTCAGAAGTGAATACAAAATGATACAAGAATTGAAACCATTACTAAAAAACTTGGATGCTTATTAATATAATTTAGTTTATAATTTTAAAGTGTTGCTGATAAAGTTTGTATTTTTTCATTTGTATCAGCCAAATATTAGAACCAATAATAATAGTTGCAATTTAATAAATGCCTATATGTGCCACATAATTTATACGTGTAACACTTACATACATTATACATGCACACACATATACATATATGTATTTTTTATATATTAACACAGTTTCAAACTTTACAACAGTCTTGAAAGATCCTTATTATAAACCCCACTTTACAGAATAAGAAAGTGAAATTCAGGGCGACCAGCATTAATTCTAGTCTACTTGATTCCAAAATCCCTATGGCTATGGATGCTTCAGGAAGAAAATAAAAATTTATGTAATAAACCAATAAAGATATAGCTTAATCATAAATTCTCAATCAACAGATGAGAAATGTATATGCTTCATATAAAGCACAGATTATGGAAATGTCTAAAGTAAAAATATCAAATCTTTTCAAATGTCAGATCATCTCTTGATATTAATGAAAATTTTAGTATTATTAACTAGCTTTACTGCAATACAATTTGTATGAAGCACTCATTTAAAATATAGAGTTGAATTGCCTTGAGTACACTTAAGAGTTGTGAAACAATCA